CCCCCGCCATGGTCGTCTCTCCTTCCCCCCCCAGGAACGCCTCCACTGCGGTGTACGCCTGTTGCAGCCCCGCCCAGGAGACCTACTTCCAGCAGCTGGCCGCGGCTGCGCGGAGCTCCGGCTTCCCCAGCCCGCAGGACGGCGCCTTCAGCCTCCCGGGCAAAGCCAAGCAGAAGCTGCTGAAGCACGGCGTGAACCTGCTGTGAGCCGGGCCGCGGCGCGAGGCTCACCACCCCCCCACCCCGGGAGGGCACTAGCAGCTTGACTACCAGCAAAGGGAGCTCTGCCTTCTGCAACAGAAGAGGTCCCTGTGTTCTCTCTTTCTTGGCCTAGTCCCCCTGTCAGGAACCGTGACGGTATGTGTTTGTGAACTCCTTTTGTAGCCTGCGGTTGGAGCGGGTAGTTCTTCAGGTCAGCAGGCCCAGAGCTATGCAGTAAAGGACTTTATTCCACTGGCCACGTCGTACCGAAGACGGGCAGGGCCAGGTTGTGGGCCTGTCGCTCTGCGTCTGACGCCCCCAGCGTTTCTCGCTGCCCTTCCCTTCGGGGCCTTAACTAGTGCCTCGAGCGTTCAGGTGGGTGTTTGCTTCCATCCACAGGGGGATGGGGTCACCCGCAGGTGGACCGGTGCTCCCACACCTCCAGTGGGGGTGCCTCAGAGCGGTCCTCCCGGGAGGTCTGGACACTCTGCAGGGAGGCAGGCAGCGATGCCAAAACCACCTCGTTTGCATTCTTCTGGAACTATATTCAGAACCAGGAGCCTGTTCTTTGGAACACCCATGGCGGGGGGTGGGGGGGGCAGATCTTGGTAATGTGGAAGGGAGCCTGGGGCTTTGAGGTAACTCTGAGCCCCAGGGTGCCGAGTGGGCTGTGCACCTGGCCCCTCTTGAGTGAGTGTCCTCAACGAGGAGTTTCCCCAGTGTCCGGGGCAAAAGCAAAGCTGTGCTTCCCAGCGGCGGCTGTGTGAAAGGGCGCAGCGTGCTTGTATGCCCCTGCCCGTGCCAGAGGCAGCCGGGGGATGGTAGTGTGCTGCGGACCACAGTACGAAATACTCACCAGAGGCGTAACTGTTTACCGGGAGTACCTGAGACCCCATTTGAAAACTGCAATGTTAATAATTTCCTAACGGTGAACCAGTGTCTCATGTTGATGACAATGTCTTTTCTGTGAAACAAGTTGCCAAGGGCTAAAAATAAAACAGCCAAAAATGCTGTTGAGTTGTGAGTAATGCTAACGTGTCTAGTGACAAAGTTAAGGTAAGGGTTAAGATATTTTATGTGTGTGTGTGTGTGTGTGTGTGTGTGTGTGTGTGTTGGGCACCTTTCTCTTCGCCATGCCCGAGCCGGTGCGGGCAGGTGAAGAGGGATGCACTACAGACCGGTGTGTCCGCGAGGATGACGGGCTGCGGCCACCGATCCGCCTTCAGCGTGGCTGGCCCAGCACACCAGGCCCAGTTCCCTTTCCTCCCTGGGGTCCCTCCCGCCACTGGCTGGCCTAAGAGGGTCATCTTCCCAGATGGAGGAGGGTCATACCCTAAGCTAGGGTACATGCATACTGTCCTAATGCTCTGCCAAGTTCTCCAAGAAAAAATTCAGTACCAGCCTCTGTGCCACCGGGTCAAGGAACCTTCCCACGACTGACTGACACGTAACATGGCCCTTTTCGGTTGTGGGGTTATTTTTAAGCAGCCAAACTTTTCCTTTTGCTCACCGGCGCTCCAGAATTCTGAAGTCCCCAGATTTGAGCTCAGTGACATTACAACCTGTCATGTGTTGAAACGGGGACAGAATTTGGAGCCCAGAACCCATTTTCATCTGCCCGCTCCCAGCTCAGCTAACTGCCTGAGTTCAAGGACTCTTTCCAACCAGATCTGTTTCACGAGAAAATCGCTTGGCTGTGACTGGGCCCTTTCCTAGATGTCATGCCGTCTACAGACATCTTACTGGGTCTGCTTTCAGAAACCTCTCTCCCCATCTACTTTCTCAGAGCTGCCATTGAGCCTAAAAACACTCTTAACACAAAATGCCTTTGTTTCTGAGAATCCACGTTCTAGGCAGCCACGTGTTTCCTCTTTAGACCTTACCCCCAAATTAAGTCTTAATCACCGGAGAGCATGAGATCAACACAGCAGAATGCGAAGACCCACACGCAATGGTCATTTCAAAATACATCCACAAATTCTTCACTACAAATTAGGGACCTACCTCCTCCCTTGAGTGGGGGCTATACTTAGTGATTTGTTTCTAACAAATAGAACATGGTAAAAACGACAGTATGACTTCTGGGAGCAGGTTACAACACACGTGGTGGCTTCCATCTCTCTCGGTTCTCCTCCTTTGGGGGAAGCTGACATTCAGGCAGCCCATGGAGAGGCCCTTGTGGTGAGGGTCTCCTGCCCACAGCCATGTGAGCGAGCCTTCTTGCTCCAGCCCCGGTCGAGCCTTCAGATGAGTGCAGCCTTATGAGAAACTGAACCGGGACTGTCAAGCTAAGTTGCTTCCAAATTCCCAGTCTTCCAAAAGTGTGTGACATAATAAATGCATGTGGTTCTGAGCCACTGTCTGGGGGTCATTTGTTATATAGTGAGAACTCACTAAGACACTTGTATGCCAGTATCCCATCCACCAAACTAGGTTCCTTACAGCTTTGGCACAGGGGGCCCTTTAGCCAAATGCTGGATGAAGCTGCAGGCTCAGATCCCAGCTACCCCCTTTCCCACTAGGGAAAGCCGGGCTGGACAACAAGATACCGTGAGTGCTCCCTCAGCTTTCTTCCTATGGCTTCCAGAGCCTGACGCTAATGGCCAGCTGGGCCCCCCTTCCTCTCCTCTGGGCCCTGCCCTGGCCCCTCTTCTTACCCCAGCCTCCTAGGTGCTTCCATGCAGGCCGCCCTCCTCTGAAAGTGGACGGCCACCCAAATGGCCCCAAGCCCCCAGCCTTCCCGGCCCCACCCTGGCCTGCTTCTCTGGGAGGCCCATGGAGGAGGTGCATGGGCCCCTGTGAAGCTTTCCCCTGCAGTTTGAGGAAACTCCTCGGGTGCAGGAGGGGTATGGGCAGCAGCATGGGGGAAGCTGGGCAGGTCCCTCTGGATGATCATTCCTAGGTCCTAGGATGCATGTGCAAGAGCTGGGGGTCAGCCTGGAGAATGGCCTCCCCTGGTGTGCATTTCCACTGTTCCCGAAGCCTTGAACAGCCTACCATCACCCCAGCCCAGTGTTCTGGGCTCTCAGCTGTGGCTGCTTTGGCACATTGCCCTCTGGCTCCAACTTGCCCTCAGCCAGTGTCCCCCAGCACCAGACCAGAGAAGACAGCTTCAAAAAGTCATTTGTGCTGTGAACCTTCTGCTCTCCACCAAGATGGGACTTTACAAGTCCTATTCCTTGTGTATGGAAAAGGACACCTCCCCCCCCCAACCCGAGTCTCATCCACCTGGATTAATTCAGAAAAGCTGGAGTCCGCAAACATGCACAGGCACACCCCCTTCCCTTTGCTCCTCTGGTCCCGTTTACTTTCTGCAGTGGCGCTCAGCTCTGCGACCTCAGTGGCAGCCTTGACCGTGACTGGGGCCCAGAGGCCGCTGGAAATGCAATGCTCAACCCCCCGTCTTCCTGTTCAGTACTGCAGAGGTTCTGGTGGCTGTGAGGACATCATTTCCTGACAGTCCCAGGCCCATACCCTCAAAATTAGCATCTAGATTTGAGGCTCCCCAGAGCGGGGGCCCTCCTGCTGGAGTGGGCCCCATGCCCCCAGGGTGGTACTCCCCCAGGGAGGTGGCGTTTGCAGGATGGAAGCTGCCCTGCCTTGGTTTTACAGGTGACACCAGAGTGCCCCCGTCTCCCTGGACAACAGCCTCATGCGAGCAGGGAACACACGGTGGAGAGGAAGAGAAGGGGTCCGTTTTGGGTGAGTCCATGCCAACTGCCCAGCGTTGTCGACTACTTGTGAATCTTCAGGATCAAGTCCCCATGGTGTGATTAATAGTGGCATTCAGATTCCTGCTGGGAAAGACCTCTGGTCCCTAGGGAGGCCGTTGAGCCTAATCAAACTGCCTCCCCACTGGAGGGAAGCATCCGGGCTCACTGGCTGTCACCTTGACACAGTAGCACGTGGAGCCTGGCGGCCCTCACCTGCTCCAGTATCTCTTCTCGAGTGTTAACCCCACGGTGGTCCTTTCCGAAGCGGCTGACATGCCCTTCACACCCCCACCAATACTGCTTTCCTAACACCCCACCCCGCAGAGCTTTGCACCGTGTGAGTGGTGGCCCCCAAAGGTAGCGCTCCTCATCCCGGGCACCTGTGTTACCTCAGAAGCTAAAGGTCCTGCTGGTGTGATTAAGAATCTGGAGATGCAGAGAATATTCTGGATCACCCCAGTGCCATCACAAGACTGCTTATCAGAGAGGCAGAGGAAGATGATTCACATTGAGAGGAGGTGACGTGGAGGCGGAGACGAGTGACAGGGCCACAAGCTAGGGCCACTAGATGCCTAAGGAGGCGAGGGATGGATTCTGCCCTGGAGCCTCGGGAGGGAGTACCACTCTGGTGACGCACTGGTAGGGGTCCAGTGAAGCTGATTTTCAACTTGGGCATCCAGAGTGTGAGAGAACGCAGTTCTGTTGTTTCGAGCCACCACACCAAGTCTGTGGCAGCTTGTTAGAGTCGCCACGGGAGACCAACACACCCGCCTCGCAAGCCATGTGTGTGTCCTGGTGGGGCCCTCACAGGTGGGGCCCTGCCACCGCCGAGAAGCTCTGCATGCTTGCAGGCGTGCCGGGAACTCATCCTGGGGCAAAGGGGAGCTTTGAGGCAGGGGAGTGACTGGATCGGACTCTCATGAGAAAGGTCACTGGCTCCTGAATGGAGGAGAAGCAGGGCAACGGGAGGGGGATGTCCCTGTCCCCCCCACCCCTGGGCCCTTGTGAGGAGACTGGGGAGGGCAGGGTGTACGATCGACACTTGTCAGCTGGGCTGAAGAGGAAGCAGGTTCTCTGGATCTTTTCTTAATGCGTTTGTTGAATCTGGGAAGCGTAAGGTAAAGGTTCTCAGGGCTTCGAGACTGAAAAAGCACATTTCCTCTCTGTTTACTTGCAACATCCGCACCTGAAATGAGCTTTCTCCTGGGAATAAAATCCCAGGCCCCCTGGGCAGGGGGAAGGGGAGACAAGCAGCCCCCACCTCCCATGTGCGGGTGAAAAGGCACTGTGTGTGTCTTCCCTCCGACCAGCCCGCAGGGGCTCCTGTGGCAGTGGGGGCACATGGGCCCCGGGCTCGGCTCACACCTCTCTGACTCACTGCCGTGGAAACGGGGCCCGGGGACTTGACTTCTTGGAACCTCAGTGTCTTCTTTGACATGGAGAGGAAAAGGCAATTATGTAAAGGCGTGGCATATTGTGGGGGCCCCCAGAACGTGGTGTTCGGTGAGTGTCCCAAGAGGACAAATGGCCCCTCCTGGAGGTCCCTGTGCCAGCCATGGAGGTGAGGCCTGTACGTGTGACCGGAGTTCGAGAGGCTGCCAGATCGAGTGCTTGGTGCCTGGCCTCTAATTCCAGCCCGGCCTCCAGCCGGCCATAGGGCCTTGTCCACGACGACTGCTGCCCTGAGCCAGCGTTCTCTGTGTTACATGCACACCACTGTCTCTGCTTACCCCAGTGTGGGCCCCAAGGGCTCGTGGGATACTAATATAGGCAGAGGAATTTTCTAGAGTGCACAGAGCTCTCTGTACCCAAGGAAGAAAGCACTCTCGCCTTGGGTCCGGGGTGGCTGGTGCATCGGACGTGGGGAAATGTGGGGAAGGGTAGGTGATCAGAAGGTAGGACCGACGTGTGTGCCTGGGAAGGAGGCAGAAAGTAAATCCATCTGTGTGTGTGTTGCCTCCTGCCACCTAATGCTACAATCTGCTTGAGCATTTCCACTGCCATCTGTCAGCAGCCTGAAAATATATGGCCTTATTCTGTCCTGTTGCCTGTGTTTACATCTGGTTAGCAAGACTTAGCAGGGAGGTAAATCTTAGGGGGAGGTTGCTGGCAGCAGGGCCCGATGGTCCTCACAAACCGCATTTTGTACTGAGCCTTTGCTTTGATTATTTACATTTAAAAAATATGTATGGAGCACTTCCTATCCACCCAGAATGAGACACACTGTTATCTTATTCGAACCTCACTTTACGCCTGTGAAGGTAGGCATTAGGCCCATTTTATAGATGAACCTCACAGAGTGGGTCAGGAC